TATGTCAAAAGCATTTCGATCGATATAAGAACCGAATATAATGAGAACAATTTCGTTTCGGTTTCAAGAGAAAAGCAGACTCAAATAGAACTGCAACCGGCTTTCGCAGTGTTCCGATCAAGTGACGATGTACATACGAGTATGTCGGAACTTATGTCATCTCGTCGTTGAGAAGCAAATTTCCGTTCTCTCTTCCATTAGAGTTCATATGTTTGGAAGGGTTGACAAGGGGATGGCCCTCTATAAAAAACACTCAGTGGTAAAAATAGTTAAACGAAAGCTTAGGAAATCATTAGAAAATCGTCAATGTGCTTTCGCTACATCAGAAAAAAATGGCAGAACTTAGCTAGAATACAAGTTTCAGGCAGAGTTCTGGCCACTCAAAATGGGAACATATGAGTATAAAATCTTTTATCGTCCTCATATCAAAAAGGGGGAGTGTGGTGCAGTGGTTGGAGGACCCTGCAGCACAGACGTGGAATCGGCCCCGCGTCCATGGCCCACCAGGCCTTCCGTCGCTTCGGAGTCGCAAATTGATATCAGACTTGTCTGGGAGAATAGCACCACTGACTCGATACATCGGTAGGCCACCGCGAGTCATTGTAAAGGCCAGATACACATTCATTCACCTCAAACGATACTAAACGATGTCAAATGCACAGCGCATCGCCCAGGGATTGATCAACGCCGAGAGCTTTATCCTTTTTATACGAAAATGAGAAGCGGTACTTTTTATGATAATGTTTTTCATGGCTTATTTTCACTTCGTTTTTTTAATGGCTCATTGTTCATATGATTTAAGGGTACGTTGAAATGGGAGAACAGCCCGAACCAAAAGCACATCTGGTCGGCAGTGATTTTCTGTTTGGAATTATCACAAGCAATTCCATAAAAAAACTATTTCTCGATTTAAAATCTTTCGCATTTATTCTTATTTGAGATGAAAAAGTTAATCAGCTAGTCAATAGATCAAAAAGCCCATGAAAGGCAAAACAGTTTGAATAGTTATTGAAGAAAAAATCTGTGTGAATGGTTGACAAAGGTGAATGGAAAGGGCTTTGTATCGCTTAGCACAAGGCCTAGTGGGACCTACTAAGTCATGTTCCGCCATCTTCTTTTTAGAAGTAAAACTCAAAAGCTTTGCCAGAAGAACCTGCGACAGTCTAACGAATGGAAATCAATAGAGGACTCGTCCGTGCTGAAAAGCTCCGTTGCTGGAGGTGTTACTAACGAAAGGCATAATTTAAAAATTTTCTCGGGAGCAATCATCAGTAATTAGAGAAAGATTGCTCACCTTAACTGAGAATGTGAGTCTTATAGAGCTAAGATTTTCATGTAAATCTAATTATTCTAAGAATACAGAGCAGTTACCAGAAGTACTTCACAACCACACATGGGCATTGGTTCGATCCCGCGCCCATGACCAACTAAACCTTCCATCCCTCCAGGCTTGACAAATTAATACCAGACTTACGTGGGAGAATAATAACACTAAAATGGGAGATCGAAGGGCCCCACAAATCATTGCACAAACATGCCAATACGTCATATTGTTATGGTAAACGAGAACTCCGGAGAATTCGTTTCTTAGTTGTATCTTCTAGTAAGAGGTTTCTTATTGGATTCGCTGTTGCTATGAAGATGTCTTATGAAAGGAATCACTTTAAGTCACTTAGAGAGTTGAGTTTGATGATCTCAGTCGGAAATTAGTCGAATGCTTCACGTATCGACGTCCAGGGGTTTCTTATTAGTCAACAGGAATAGCGCTCTCGTTTCCAATTTAAGCATTCCCACAATATTAATTCCTAATAGATCATAATTTACGAAGATTTCTGACGATTCGAGCACTTCATCCATTATCTATCATGTCATTTGAAATGACGTTAACATATAGAGTCTCTTCATTAGTGTCTCTTACTTCGACACAATATATTAGTGACGTTTATGGAGAAGGTAAAGCAGATGAAAGCAAATTGAGTGGTCGCTTCTCCTTACAACCTCATTCCACTCAGCCAATTTTTAGCAGATTTAACCTCTTTTTATCGTTTTTTCGCGCTGTTATCAGAAGGAAATTGACAAAGAACAAAAAGAGATCAGTTTAAAATCTCCAAGTGGTTCTAAATTCTTTAAACACGGCCATTCCATAGACGATACGGTTAGTGACATGAAGTTCTGTTTCGCTCAAAGGAAGTAGGGAAAAGTAGCTAGACATTGTTCGTCTACTGCTCTTCTGGCAAAAAGTAATAGGAATGGGCAAAAATTCACAAGTTGTCTTAGGTTTCGACAAAATAAACTAGAAAAAAATTGGAGATAAACCGAAAGAGTTTATAAAATCTTCGTGTTAGAGATGAATGTAATGGTTTCATACCAGTTCCACGAAATCATTTCGAATATTTAATACATTGTAAGGAATATTTTATCGATTGCTGGGAAAACAAGTGAAAACCCATGGATTTCAGAGAATGACGTCATGGATGCGAAGAGGCCGATTGGATTTCGCTTCAGGTATAGTACTAATGCTGCTCTGGGGTATTGACAGCTTTGTCTTAGAAGCTGTAGACATAATAATTGAAGAGTGCAACTCTCTGATGATGTGAACAACAAATTTTGAATAGCTGAACATGGTACCAGAAAGTAACGACTCAGTTGGGAAACTCTGCTTGTGACTTGTATGGAAAACAGATAAAAACAAAAAGATAAAGCGTTTGACGTTCCCACGCATTCGATTAACTCGTAGGATTGCAAAGGCAAAATGGTTGCCTATTCGGACTACAAAATGACTGACCATGTATTATATCAGGTCTTCCACACTCCCATACAAATCTGGTACGAATTCCCAGAGCCGGGAGAGATGGGAGGCTTGGCATGGCAGTGCGGAGTAGAATCAGAATCGTACTCGTGACGATCGGCTTCACTAGCACTAGGCTACCTGCTCCTTGAAGAAGACTTATACTCTTATATCATTAGAATCTGTACAACTCTAGTATCTGGGAAGAATGACATCAAAAATGCCTCAAAACTACAAGTTTTTGTACTTTCGGCTTGTCGACTGCACTCGTTTTTTCTCCGAATTGTCATTAAGGACGATAAGTTTGGTAATAAAGAAGTGGAAGCAGACGATAAATTGAACGTTACCGCAGTTTGTTTATGATAATAAAGACTTGTCGATCATAAATTTTTCAACATCCATTGGCTCTGTTCAAGAAAAAAAGGTACAAATACAGTAGAATACGGCCAGAATTTATGAATGATAACTCATTCGAATATTCGATGAACACTCGAAGTATTCAATCGCTGAGAAGGTGAGTCATCCACTCATGCCTCTGGCCATGAAGAGCTAAAATTGCCAAGTATGTATTCCATTCTCGAAGTGAAGAAAACAATGAGAGAAAAGTACTCAACGATTGCAAGAATTTTGCACGCAATTGCGCGTGGCAGTTTTTTCCACTGAAGAAAAACCCATTTATGCAAAAATGTGAGCTCAGTGAGATGAGTGTAAACTGCTTCTACTTTATTGATGAAGATGCGTAATCTTCAAAAAATGCGAAATGAGATTTCCCTTGCTCGTATGAGTCAGATACACTCACGCCGTTTGGAACGTCAACTGACACCAATGAGTGCGTTATGTAATCAATAGAATCCACTCGAATCTGCTAAGCACATAACTCTTCTTATTAAAGACAACAGTCGTTCTCTAGTGATAAGCAGCTGGAGTGGTGACCGTTGTGTTTACACGTGTAAAAGCTGCGAGAATTTCTTTGCAAGGCTTCTTGAAGAACTATGAAGTTGGCAACATTGATGAGATTTCAATTTGTCGTTCTAAGGATTTACGCTGAAAAACTCTACACGTGCTTCCTTAGTTACAGGAATTTTGGTTTTCGAGGGATTAATGGAAAAAATTCTTTTAAACGCAAGGATGGCAGGCGCTCAGGTCAGCGCTTCTTGAATGTGCACGATAGTTCGATCCAGACGACTAGCCGCCTATCCAGTTGTTTCGTAGCTCGAAAATTCAACCTCGACACCAGAAAAAAGCAAATAAAACATTGGTATAAATCGTATGAAATGCTGAGATGTTTGCAAAACTCCGGACCACAGGTGTATGCAGTGGAGAACGAACACGCGCTGTTGTCCTTACCGGGGAGCAGCGCACTTCACCACTACACCATCCGGGTCCTTCGCTTTGCATGTCTCTCAACTAGTTCTATCGATCTTTTTGCTATCAGCAATCACCCGTCAACGGGATTGATCTGGGGAGCCAAGCGAAGGACCCGGATGGTGTAGTGGTGAAGTGCGCTGCTCCCCGGTAAGGACAACAGCACGTGTTCGTTTCCCACTGCATACACCTGTGGTCAGGAGTTTTGCAAAAAACTCAGCACTTTATACGAGTTATATTTCACAACATACCCTGCCATTAAGAATAAAAAGGCAGTAAATAAAAGAGTTAAGATTGTGATTATAGAAGAAAATTTGGGCAAATAGAAATGTTTAGTATCACTGATTAGTTCAAGCAATTTTATTACTTCACTGTTTTGTCTTTATGCCTTATGTTTTCAGCTACAATAAGTGAAGTTGGGTACATGAATGTTTCTTATCCGTGTTTTTCAAATAATTCTTTCTCATTTGTAAGAAATCATTTAATTATATGAGAACGAACTTCTTACTAATAACCGATTGGTCACGAAAAATACCTGGATACTTGGTTGGCCCGTCCTCACTAGTTGTGCGGGACCTAGCAAAATTTCAACTTTCTCGGAGTTCTGTGGCCTAGTCATTGTAGTTCTCTGTAGTCATGAGGTCAGTCTGGGCAAGGCAAAGGACCACCACAGGCAGTCGCTGCCCTTGTGGATCAGTGAGATTTACCTCTGCGCAGCTAGTTTGGTACCACGACGGTGGTGCATCCTGCTATTGGTTTTCTCTTAGCTGGACTTCTTGATGAAAACGCCTCACTCTTTTTCAGGACTCTGCCGGGAGGATGAATCCCACCGTTGTCCATTACAGCCCTACACAGGAACACCTCCCAATCGCGATGAGGCGGTGAGCCTTTCGAAGGATCGCAAAAAAATAGACGAACGAACAGACATACCGGATTTATCACTCATGAATCTCCACATAAGACACGGAATATAATAGAGAAAAGCTTGAATAAGAAGAAAGAATGGCACCCATTGATAATAGGATATTTGACGATATTCTCGTTCGGATATATCAACTGGGATGTCCTAAATAGTTCCATTTCAACGATGACGTCCTTGCGGGATGATCGATCTCATCTTCAGAAATGAAATAAAATTTCGCATAACTCCACAAGATGAATAAAAGAGGTTAAAATGATAAAAAGGCAAAATTGACAAAAAGATAAAAATGAACCTGATCGATAGGAACCCAATAAGTGTTCTGCGCCCAGCAGTACATCTCCGTGTAAGCTTCCCAACTGGCTGTGAACTGCGCTGGTACCCAGCACTCTAACGGACGACCGCCGAACTAAACCATAACTTAGTGTTGAAAATTGTTGTTTTAATCCTTACGACGGACCTTCGATTAACCTCGATATTGATCAGATAATTTTCAATATTCGCCCTTTCCTCAACAAGGATATCGTGAACTATTCTTGTTTTAGTTTTTTATGCTTTTCCTCCTAGGACAGGGTACTCTTCCAACTACTCAAAAATCTCGAACACTGCTCGGGTATGCTCAAACCTTGCAGAAAGGGAAAGTTCCCTTTCAGATCTGTAAGTTCAAAAACCTTCTAGTCAACATCTCATTGAAATTATCAAGTGTTTTAAAATCACTCGTGGAATTTTCTCGCAAAATTTCTCTTTTTAAACAAAAACATCACCAATTATGAATAAAAAGTGGATGAGTGCATATTTGGATACTTGGAGGGCACGTCCTCACTGGTTGTGCGAGCCCATCGTAATCTCCATCTTTCGGAGTTTTGCTGGTTTAGCCATTGTACTTCCCTGCATTCCTGAGGTCAGCCTAACCAAAGTCTGCCCTAGGTCGTCGCACCACAAGCACTCGCCGTCTTTGTGGATCAGTAGGAGATTTGCCACCAAGTGACAAGTTTGATGCTAGGCCGGTGATGGATCCTGGTGTTAGTTTACTCTTAGCTGGGTTTCTGGATGGAAACGCCGGACTCCTTCTTGGCTTGGAAGAACCTGCCGGTGGGATGAATCCCCTTGCTGTACATCGCAGCCCGACACTTAGGAACACCTCCTGGCCACGATGAGGCGGTAAACCGTTGGGAGGGATGAGTCGATAAAAAAATAAAATTTGGAATTTCCAATGCCGATAAATTTACCAGCTTTCCAGAAATTTTTTAGTGATGGGATTCCTACACTTGAAAAAGAACCGATTATAGAAGTTACCTAGGAATTTTTAAGAAGGAAAGTACGAACATAACATAAAAGAGGAACTATAAAAGAAAGCCTTAAGAGAAGAAGAAGAAAGGCCAAAAAAGGAACGACACCTGCTTGAAGCTAACCAACACGGCCATCATAATGAGAAACGATGAAGTATAAAAGTAGGATAATCTGTCAACAAAATCATCGTCTTTTCTGTAGTGAAGAAATGAAAGTGCACTGAAAAAACAACGATTAAAGAGAAAAACGGAAGGGAAATGAATGTAACGAAAGTCTAGTGTTCATCGTATCGTTGACTACCAACAACTGGAACTGAATAGTAATGTTTTGATAAGTGGAAAAATTACTTCACTTTCTAGAAGAAGATTAAACTCCTATGTAACACATGACTTCGTAACAGTGTAGATATCCTTAACCCTTTTTTTTCACTGCCTTTCTCTTTTTAATGGCTGAATATGTTGCGAAATATAACTCGTGTATAATGCTGAGATATTTGCAAAACTCCGGACCGCAGGTGTATGCGATGGGGAACGAACGAGCGCTATTGTCCTTACCGGGGAGTAGTGCACTTCAACACCACACCATCTGGGTCCTTCGCTTTGCGAAGTCTCTCAGCTAGTTCTGTCGATCTTTTGCATCAGCAATCACCCGTCAGCGAGACTTTTGCAAATATCTCAGCATTACTCAGCATTATACACGAGTGTAGATATCCATTCATGGGATCACTCATGGATTGCGATTTGGTTCCTAATTATAAGGTGCATGTAGCGTACTGGTTGTAGGTGCTCTACAATACATACGTAATCGCTGGTTCGAGATCTCGCCCCGAATAATCCGATTCATATCCCTTCTGGGCCGGCAAATCGGTGCCAGACTTGTCTAGAAAATCCTCACCATGATCCACAAATACTGTTGACTGCAATGATGATGATAACGGTGCTCTCTATTTGAGCTACCAAAAGATTCTATCAGAAACATACTCAAGAATTTTGCATTTTTCATGGCATTTAATGACATTAACGAAGAGGAAAGATCGCCAAATGGGAGCTTAAGAGACGCGCTATCCCCGAGGCCAGTTAACGGACAGTTGATAAGGAACCGACAGAGAATAGAGGACAGAGATCTGAACAATATGTGAAGTCAGGTTATATACATAATAATAACACATACGTAATAAGATTTCAGTTCCAAACGGTGGTGCTTCGGCTAATACCGTTTAGCTTATTCGTGGGCTAGTCGATCTCTTTGATAGGGAATGTGATGTTATAGTACGTAACTAACAAAGTTTATCTAAATAAGATCAAAACACATGCATAAACTAAACAGAAAAAGGGACAATGGTGCAGTGGCAGTGATTCCGTTAAGAACGAACAAGGCCCTGATTAGACTCCCGACGCACATCACAATGCACACACAAATCCAAGGAGCCTACTGGGTAATAGATACGAAACGAATCAAGTGCAAAAAATGCTGCATCCGCACACTATGGGATATTGGGTTACGTAAAAATGGTAAAAGAAAATAAAAAATGTTCGGAAAAAGTGGCCGGAATTCAGGACCTCACCTACCTAAACATATTCTGGAGCACCATGGCTCCAACTTCGACTACCGCTGCGTGATGATAACTCGTAGAATCTCGTCCGTGCCCTGAATAATCGGAAATCAACGTCAATTAGTAAGTCAGAAAGTCTTCTGAAGGCTATGAGTTTTTCAGTTAGTAGCGTCGTTCACCTTCCATCGTCTTAATCGAATGCCAAGCTCTTCTGCATGAAAAAAGTGTAGAGACCATTCGGTTCCACTTTTCCATTACCTGTCTCAATATCCTTAACATTATTTGCGCTATCCTTTTGTAGTAATCGATAACATCAGAACGATAGGAATTCAACATTCTGTCAACCTATAGAAAGCAATTCCTTTCTATTTTTTTCCCGCAAAATAAGAGGAATGTTAGATTTTAAGGTGTTGTCCAATTATATTTACTCCATTAAAAAGAAGCTATAAATTGTTAAGGTGACCACCATTTCGTCAAATGAGATGTAAATGAAATCCTTGAGGTTTTCATTTTATGAGATTCTGTTGCTGGATAGGTTTTAATTATGAATACTCGCATCACAAGATCAAAACAATCCTCTTCTTTACAAATGAAAGGGATAAAACTCTCAGTGTTGATCAACGTTGAGGGACGTGCTATGCATTCGACTTCATCAAGCATCGTCTGGAGGTGATTGAATGCATATCTGTCCTTTACAATGACTCGCGGTGGCTTACCATTGTATCAAGCCGGTGCTACTATCCTCCCAGACAAGTCTGGTACCAATTTTCCGACCCCGGAGGGATGGAAGGCCTGGTGTGGCATGGGCGCGAGGATGTCTCCAGCCACTGCGACACACGCGTCTCTTTCGTCAAGCGTCTTTTTACATTTACACCCTCTTTCTTACAAATGAAAATCATTTAAAGCTTTGTCTAAGACTTCGACGTCCTCAATAAAAGAAAAGAATAAAAAATTGCGCCATGAATACAATCACTAACATATTAGAAAAAATTTAAAGTCCGCTTTAAGGTCTCCAGGGTACTTAAAGGTTTACCGAAAACAAAAAAGAAAAAATAAAGAACTGAATGGAATTGTGCAGAACATATCTTCCAGAGAGCAGAATTACTGGTAAAAGGGAGTTATTCCATTTTAAGGCATGTCTGATGACAAAGTGCAAATTCAGGGCGTCGGATTAGTAATGAAAGAGTTCTTCTAAAAGCAAAGAATTCTTCAACTGCTTTCGTCATTTTACATATAATTTTAGTGTTATCTTAAAAAATCCGTTGTGAAGCACGTCTTCTATTGAGTTTTTCACAATATTTCTCTAGGACAAGGGCGCGTATAGGGCAGTGGTTAGAGGCGCTCTCCAATACTCGTGGGATCGATCAGGCTCCCTAGGCCTACAAGGCTTTCATCGGGGTCGTCAAGTTGGCATTAGACCTGTCTGGGATGGTAGCAGTACTAGCTCGGTACAACGGTAGGCCAGCGCGAGTCATTGAATAGGCCAGATAAACATTCAGTCACCTCTAACGATGCTTAATGAAGTCTAATGCATCGCGCATCCCTCAGGGATTGATCAACGCCAACAGCTTCATGCTTTTATTTCATATGTCCTGTAATAAACCAGTAGCATAGTTCTACATAGTTTTGCAAATGCCTCAGCATCATAGTGAGTGCATATGACATCAAGTCCTCCCTTGAAAAATAATAATAGGCAGTAAATAAGAAGTTAACATAGTAGCCATATATTTTATACAATTTGCTACATCAATAAGTTGCTATACGACATTTTTATGAAGAAGTCGGTAGCTTTACTCTTAAGGATAATAGGTTCACTCAGGCGAAGTTTCCTTTTTGCGATCCTTCTTCGTCTCCGCAATCGATGTTGTTGGCACGGAAATGTTAGTCGACCGACCGAGTTCATTCCACCGACGAATTTCATCCAAGGCTGAAGTCTTCACACTTCTTGGAAAACAGGTTCATGCGGATTGGTTTCATCCCACATCCAAACAGACTAAGCGTCTCTCTCTATGACGTTTGCAACGTGGTTACGTCTGGGAGGATAGAAAAACTGGCTTAATTGATCAGTAGACTTTTATAAGCTACTGTGTAGAGCAAACATGCATCAAAAAAGTTTTACTAGCACCGGATATCCGTTAAATCACTTCTATGATGTTTAACGAAGTAGAATGCAGGGGGCACACCTCAGGAATCGATCAGCGTCGAAAGTTTTTAATCTCTGGGATCTTACGAATGGAATCGAGCTGATTCGTATCTCTGAGTAGATAGATCAACACAAAACCATTTGCTCTTAACAAGTTTTTATACCCACTTCTTAATTCTTCTAAAGAAAACTGGAAACGATTTACGAGACGATTTTTGCCATGGTTTTTTTTTCACGGCCCTGTTTTTCCTTTCTCTCAGTGAGTGTTTTACCTTAGCAGCGGTATCAGCAATAACCCATCAACGAGAAGAACGGAAAACGCTTTTTCGTCACAAGATGCCACAACTCCTTAAGTTGTTCAAATATTCGAATATTTAACAAGTTGGCGAAAGACCAATGAATAATAGAGCTTCACTTTTATGTCTTCATTGATCGGTTCATCTACAAAGGATAAAGGATGCAACTCACGGCGTTCGTCAATCCCTGAGGAAAGCGCCACGAATTCGACTTCATTAAGCATTGTTTGGAGGTGATTGAATGCATATCTGGCCTTCACAATGATTTGCGGCGGCCTACCGATGTATAGAGCCACTGCTGCTGTCCTCCCAGATAAGTCTGGTACCAATTTGCTGACCCCAAAAAATGGAAGGCTTGGTGGGCCATGGGCGCAGGGATCGATCCCACGTGTGTGCTGTAGAGCGCCTCCGACGACTACGCCACACGCAATATTAACAAATAAGGTTGACAACGACGACATCTACTCAACGACGGAGAAGCATTGGAATGCTATGGTAAATTGTCGACGCGAACATTTAAAACATCTATACGTGTAGTTTGTGCAATTTAGACATCACACAGTATTAAAGCCTCAAGCCAAATCATTGAGAGTTCGTCCTAAGTGACGAAGTCCAGATCAGCACCACTGCGTATGACAGAAATACCGGCTATAAGTGCTTTGCACAAATTTTATCTAGAAAATACTATGTTCTACAAAAAGAATACTGTGCTTCATTTTATTCCATGAATATATTATTTAGGTGATCCGAATTCACTTTTTGTGCGGATCCCAGTCCTTCCTTCACTCGACTTGTTGCTTTTATCTGTCATTTATGAAAATCGATGTGAGTTCAGCTGCCATCTGAGTGCTTTCCCTTAGTCACGAATTTTATTGAGTGCTGGTCAAATTGATTTTCTCAGGAGGAATCCTGGTATAGCTCTACTAGAGCGTTTACTCCTTTTCACCACATACTGCCCCTGTTCTTGTTGATGCGTATGGAGATTTTGCCCAATAGATTTGCTATCAATTTCGAGGTCCCGGTGAGGATGATGGCTTTCTTTTACCGGTGTCATCGTGGAACCGAAAAATGGTTGCATTTTCGCAGCTTTTTTAGTCACACTTATGTTTAATGGGGGCGAATAGGTGGTCGACTATTTAAGACTGATTCGGAATTGCCGTAGCTTTGGAAAATAACCAACTATGTCACCCTGTCCACGTTTCCTCAATCATACGGATTTCTAAAGTAATTCCGTATGATTGAAGAAACGTTTGAGGAAAATCTGAAAATTTTTGAAGTTATTTGAGGAAAATAATTAAAGGCATTGATCAAGTAATTTTGTTCGTATTTTTGTTCAGCAAACGCGAGGTGTTATTATTCATTGTTCACGATTAAGCTGACGTTTCGGCGGATTTCGCCTTCCTCAGAGCCTGGAAAGGTCAAGTTGATAGCAATTTACTCGGCCAGACGCCTCCATAACCAAACAAAGAAACTCCAAACCAAGATTTCAATCACTTTGAACACAGCTTTGCACACTCACCGCTTTCTATGAGGTTTCCACTAAGTATGTCACGTAGAGGCATGTCACGTAATCGTAAGCGCCAGCTAGTTCGCAACCGCCTATATGACCGTCTATGTGCAACTCAAAATTGCATAATTTGCTCCAGTGGTAGAGACGGTGATTGCATGAGCTCGGGTATAGTTTATCTGATCTCCTGTAAGACGTGTGGTGGCTAATACATTGGCGAAATGGCTAGACCCCTCTGTGTCCGCATGAAAGAACACCTAGCCTGCAAAAATAGACCAAATACCCCGCTAGGCACGCATAGGACCCAGAGACATAACGGGGACGACTTCGAAGTATGTGTCACGATCCTCGCACACGAATCAAGAACACAGGCGCGAAAAACTCTCCAGGCATTCCGGATTAATTCCAGAAATCCGAAAATGAACCGCAGGGAAGAATGCCTCATTATCACGCGTGATATAGGGCAGTATATAAAAATGCTTTTCTGATGTGAGGGTCACATTATACTTCCACGTGATTTTTGTGCGGTTGGTCTCTACGTGACATACTTAGTGGAAACCTCATAGGAAGCGGTGAGTGTGCAAAGCTGTGTTCAAAGTGATTGAAATCTTGGTTTGGAGTTTCTTTGTTTGGTTATGGAGGCGTCTGGCCGAGTAGATTGCTATCAACTTGACCTTCCCAGGCTCTGAGGAAGGCGAAATCCGCCGAAACGTCAGCTTAATCGTGAACAAAGAATAATAACACCTCGCNTGGCTAGACCCCTCTGTGTCCGCATGAAAGAACACCTAGCCTGCAAAAATAGACCAAATACCCCGCTAGGCACGCATAGGACCCAGAGACATAACGGGGACGACTTCGAAGTATGTGTCACGATCCTCGCACACGAATCAAGAACACAGGCGCGAAAAACTCTCCAGGCATTCCGGATTAATTCCAGAAATCCGAAAATGAACCGCAGGGAAGAATGCCTCATTATCACGCGTGATATAGGGCAGTATATAAAAATGCTTTTCTGATGTGAGGGTCACATTATACTTCCACGTGATTTTTGTGCGGTTGGTCTCTACGTGACATACTTAGTGGAAACCTCATAGGAAGCGGTGAGTGTGCAAAGCTGTGTTCAAAGTGATTGAAATCTTGGTTTGGAGT